ACTTTATCAGACGGGGAAGACAAAGCACCGAGTCATTTATCAGACTGGTTAATCTGGTCCCGTCTTTTCAGTAAATTATTCATCATAGTTATATGTCTTTGTCCTGAGTGAAAAACATCACGAGTGAATGCCCCCCCCCCCCCCCCCCCCCCCCGTTTGTTGCCTTCATTCGTGAGTGGCTGATAAAAAGACAGTCCTACAGTTGTTTATGTTTCAAGAGAAGGTAATTGAGGTTATGGGTTGAATTTTGCTACAGGTGTTGTTTTGCTGAACAGTTTGCGCTTCAGGGCCTTTTGGAGTTGTTAAAATCAGTAGCGGTAATTCAGATTTGATCTCTGAAATATGTGTTTTCATGTCCTGAGAATCTAACCTACTGCAGAGTCATTGTTGTTGACAGTAATATCTAATACTTGTACTGAAATTGACAGAAGAAAATCAGAAAGCAACTCGGAGTGGAATTGAAACATCTTTCCGCAGCAATATGTAGACTCTGAAACTAAGTGGTAGTCCACTTAAAAGGGCAGCCGACTAATTCATCTACACAGCTCTTAACAGAATGATTAACAGCATTACCAAAGCTGAGAAATTTCAAACTGTCTGGCTTGTATTCTGTGTGTTGGCTATGGTGTGAGGAAAAAGGCTGGGTTATAAATGGAGGACTGTAATTTATCTTTTTTGTACTTCTTACAAGGTCTTTAATCACATTGTCCACCTATGGGACTTTAAGAGGGCTAAAGAGATTCATCCTCAGGAGAAGAGCCTGTCAGTGGATTATGTGTATGCATTATGTGTATTTACGTAAGATAGCACTATTTCTGGGGAGTTTAGGTGCATCTAAGAGAAAACAGGATGCGTGTGTGCGTACATATAATCAGCTTATCAAGTAAGTTTTGTCCATTTCTGAGCCATTAAGCCCTAGTTTAAAAAAAAAAAATTATTAAGCATATTCAAAGAAGGCAAATCACTGAACTAGAATCATGAAATGACACATTTTAATATATTCTTGAAAAAACGGGATTGCTATTAGAAACAGGTTGAAATGACCTCAGATTTTATCACCTGTTTTGAGAATATTTATATAATCTTCACCAATTTTTAAACAAAGTCTTCCCCTAAAATGCAAACAAAAACAACACAATAACAGAGAAAAAATAAAAACAGTCCTAATTATCAACATGTTGTGCTGGTAAGTGACCACACCACAGTACTTAGTTGAATGTGAAGTCTTAAGTTTATAATAAAACAAACCACACACATGGTGAGGGTGATATTCCGTGACTTGTACAAAAAGACATATACTGTATGTTGTTTCATCCCCAATCAAATCAAAACATGAAACATCAAAACAACTCACTTGTGTCATCTGTTCACTTCAGTCTGTGTAAACTTTCCAGAATATCGTCTGCTAAAAGCTGTAAGTGTAAATGTCTTGAAACAGCTTTCTGCCTCATTTTTTTAAGTGATGCACAACCCTCTGGGGAGGAGGTCCTATTGTCTGTTGTATAGCCAAAAGTGTGAGGCCCGTTTAATCTACTGGTGTGGCAAAGCTTCAAAATACTCTGCTTTAATGGGTTTAAACTGGGCAGACGGGGTCCATCATGACTAAACAAAGTGTGGTTAAATCAAAGCACCCCTAATTATTAGTCTATAAAGTAAATCTGATGTTGCAAATTATGTTTATTTAAACTACAGTTTCAGGAATTTTAATTGCCCATGGCCCTCTGTAACTTTGCTCTTTTTATCAAAACACACAGATTTAAATTTTGCAAGTTTAGTTTAGCAAGTCCAAAGTGAATAAATGGAAAACAAGAGTTGGTATGACAGGAGTGTAACATTTTACCTTTTGTGCTGGGATTACTTTTTTTTTCATGCTGTATGCGCACAATAAATCCTTTACAGTAACCTGCAGTTGCTAATTGGCCAAAATGGGCAAATTGTATTTAATAGACATTTACAATAGGTTGTCTGTTTTATGTTAGCTCTCAGCTGATGTGCCTCTGGTTACAAGCCACTGACACTGTATACTTAAATATATGCAACTGCATATTATTTATTATTAGTTAATTTTATATTTTTTTCAGGAAAAACTAAACTGTAAATGAGCCAGAATAATCATAGGAGGCAAATTCTTAATCAGTTGTCCCTGTCTGATGTTAAAAAGGCACCTTTAGAAATAGATTCACATTCACCAATGAAAAATGCAACAGTATAACACATGGTAGTTTGGGCAAATGGGGAAAAAATAGGAAAGGATTAGCTGCTGCTTTTTGTTTTTTGTGCCTTAACATAATTTCTCTTGAGCCTCCATATGTGACCAAAATGTTGAAGGGAAAAGAAATAAAACTCTGCTTTAATAAGAGCGGGAAGATCATCTCTGGATTGTGACTTAGTGTGTATTTTTAGTCAAAATCATAGCCCGGCATTTCCTTTGTTTTCGTCAATGCCGCCTTGTAGAGTGTGTGTGTGTGTGTGTGTGTGTGTGTGTGTGTGTAATGTCCACAATCTGATCCTGAAACCGGACAGAAAGTCTGGATGGAAAGCAAGAACATGCAGTAATGTTGAACATCATGCACAGATGTTAATTAAATACAACCGTTGTAGTAAAGAAATAATATATTTACAATTGCCAAGTTGTGTTTTGTCTAGACTTGTATTTATTTTCGTAAAGGCAGTTATTATGTAAGTGCATGGATGTGTGTTTTTACTATAATTAGATAAAGTTAAAGTCTCTTAAACCTTGGGGACTTCTTGGGGGACACACAATTAGCACAAGGGTCTGTTAAGACTGATAGATTGATAATATAAATTCAAATTTCAGAACAAAAAAAAACATATATTCAATTGTCCAGCTCAAATAAATCATGGAGATTAAGAAGGAACAAAAGGCAAAGGCATAATCAGTTTTATATACTGCTGTACCTGTTTGCTGATATTCATAATATGATCTTAAAATTAATAAATTGATCTCAACTATACTGTCACCCTAACCATAAATTAAAGACGGAAGGATTTAAGGAAGGTAAATGTCTTAGCTTGGTTCTTCTCTTTATTTTTTTGATACTAGTCGAAGTTGAAAGAGTCAGATGAAAGACATGGCAACAGCACAACAGCAGTATTTTTTGATAGAAATAACAGGCTGGTTCATTCCAAGTCAAATCAGATAGAGGATACATACATACCAAACATTTTAGATTTTGTTCAAACCTTACACAGAGTGAAATAAGGGTATTATTTCTATGCCCTAAAGGTACTTTCATCAAAAAAGTACCCTGTAAGGTATGGAAATGGTCCTTAAGGTATTAACCATAGAACCTTTGTTTATTTTTAAGGATACAGAATCATTGCTGACAGCAAAGGGTAAATAACTGTACTTTTAACAAACTTAAGGTACAGGCAAGTGATGCAGAAAATCAGTGATCCCCCGCCACCAGGACATAAAGGGGTGGCAATGACACAGTGGATAAGACACATGCCTTTGGTATGAAAGACCAGGGTTCAATTCCTGCTGTGACACATCCGCCAATGTGTCTCTGAGCAAGACACTTAACCCCTAGTTTCTCCAGAGGTGTACGACCTCTGATATATATAGCAATTGTAAGTCGCTTTGGATTAAAGTGTCAGTTAAATGAATAATTGTAAAGGTACATTTTAGTCACTAGGGATGCAGAAATGTTCTTTTAGAGGTACATACAAGAAGGCACAAAAATGTACCAACGTTCATAGGTACAGTCTTCATACCCTGCTAAGGTACAGCTGGAGCGACAAAGCATTTGTAACTTTTTAGGTCCATTCCCGTACCTTGATTTCTCTGTTTGTATGTATATGCTATTTGAGACCAAAAACTGAGAATGTTGTCATTTTTGCCCAATAGTAGTAAAAGTAAGATGGTGGGGCATAATAAGCCCCATATCTTGACACATAACTTTACACACATAATGCCCACATGTAGACTGTTATTAAGTCATCTCACAAAAGCAACCAATTGCAAAAATGTCATACTTGCCATATATCAGATTCTGTTTATGTTAATGCTCCTGAAATTTGGTACATAAATCAAATACTTTATTTTCAGCTGGGAGTATGGACACTTCCATATGTATATACTTTAAGGGACTGCCTGCGGCCCCTAAACCACTCACTTTTTCATTTTCAATGACCAGTAATGAAAAATATGGCATCTGCCTGTGCCTTTCAATAATTTAGATCTGTTGTACACCATTTTGTCTGTGCCCCTACCAAATGTTTTGGCCCTAGGAGTTACATGTCTAACATGTTTACCCTAAGAATGGCTTACCGTCTAGGATGTTTGTGATGTAGGGCGAAAGTGACCTAAAAAATAAAAAACTATGCAATTTTCAAAATGCATCCGAAATGTTTTACAGAACTAGTTTTTGGTCTCAAATACCATATAGGTTTAAGCAAAAAATCTAAAATGTAAATAAATCTGATATGACTATTAAACACAGCTCAACTATCCTAGAAAACCAGCTGAGTACTTCATCGTCATTTGGAAAAATAAATCCCAACACTTACCAGATTTACCAGCAAAGAAACAGTCGGGGAAAAAATTGGAAAAATGTGTAAAACCAATAACACACTCCAGATTTTGATACACCTGAGTGCTATTATCAGGTTGAGCAGGTTGTTATAAAACATGTGGACAATACTGGAGTCTGAGGAAAAAAATTGTAGTCCAGGTGAATTAAAATGTTTTCTTCTCTATAGGTCTGTAAAAAGCACATTTTTATTTGTGAGCAATAAAAGCTGAGAGTTTATTGTGTTGCATTGTGTGCTGTTCCAGCCTGTTGTTTTTTATTTGCTTGCAGTAGGCCTATAATGCACTTAACGATGCCCTGTACTTCCTGAGCACGACTTAATGCAATGTTTCACCTTATGTTTTTATATTTCTTACGTTACTTTTCTACTTTTATGTACATTCCCCATGTTTTTCTTGTTCTTTTCCTGCTTCCTAACAATGTTTTTCTCTTCCTCTGTTCCAGTTGAAATGTTGCTGAGTCAGTTTGGGGTCATGACATCATCATCATGAGATGGAGGAGCTGGCGAGCAGTGACCACAGGCAGCGACAGAAGAGGGTGGTGCCTGTGTGTTGTGGTTTGTAGCTGCTGCTTCTTGGCAAACAAATTGTGCTGTGGAGTTGCCTCAGGGAATAATTTGCTCAAATGTTGAAAGGAAGAACAAATTCAAAAGGTTTAAAAAGGCAGTAAGTAAGATTTTTATTGTCGCATTGCACCAAATGACTATAAAACACCTGCAGGAGGCTGATAGTGTTGTTAATTGTCCAGGTGCTGAGGTTTCTTGGCTTTCCAAACTGTCTTTCCGGCTTGTGGGTTGTTACGGAGCAAAATCTCCACACCCAGTGAAGTCATGCTGATGGTGAACACAGTAACAAACAAACTTCTCACGTTACAGAGAAAAATTTGAATCCAGAACAGGTCATTTGTGTGATTCAGGTAGATCCGATGAGTTTTTGAAATGCGTCTAGGTCTACAAGGACAGAGTCACGGTGAGTTAAAAGGGAACCACGCCTTTTGAGTTGTCAAAAAGCAAAGAGAAACTAAAGCTCCTGGTTACTGTGTTAACATTAGCCACTGGTGGTTCCATTTTCTTTATGCTAAGATAATATTAGCAAGGCTAATGCTGTCATAAACACAACATAATTAAACAATTTGTTTTTGGATTTGTTTTGGAGCATGAGGCTAATTCGATACTAATACGATACTACAGTGTAGACGTTACCTAGCTAAAATGGACCTGTGTTACCTATAATGAAGGTTAGTTATAAAGAATGTTTGTTAATGTAGCCTAATTATATTGCTTATTGCTGTATTTGTGAGTATAAATACTGAAACAATACTTTTTACAACCATCAACTGTTCTATAATACTATTTTGAGTAATTATCACAAAAGTTTTTATGGGCAGCAGTGTCTTTTTTTTATTAGTAATTAGGCTTCCTGGCAGCTTTATACTTTAAGACAAAATGATTAGACAGACGTATAACTGAGCTTGTGCTGAAAAAATTATACCATGCACTTGGAGTAATACCAATTTAAAAAGGTGCTGTACAAACTCAAAATTTAATGCATAAAGTAGTTAGTGGATTTACATGCTATTTTATCCAAAAATGATTAAACAAAAATGGACTCCCTGTAGTTTATGAAGTTAATTTAACAACACAGCTAATGACAGCTGATCTGAACTGTGTGTGCTTACAGGTGTTGGTTCCTCTGTTAATGTGAGAGGTTTAAAGCTCATCATTACTCAGAAGTTTGAAATTTAGGCAGGTAAATTTTCTGACCCCATAATTCCATATTAAACTTTAAATAGCACTACAATTTCCAAAACACAAGTAAAGAATGAATGACTGAATGAATTTGCTGCATCTTTCCAGTATCTTATTAATCGAAATAAATAAATCAGCTTTATTACATTAACATACAATTTGGTTAAATCCAGCTCTGGTTGTGGTATTATAATGAAAGGTCATGAAATGCACTCACCACATAAATTGCTCTCACTCTAGTAAGAACAAGTGCATATTGTGTACAGTCTAACAATGCTTCTGTGACAACACATCAACTGACTGACCTCAAGGACTTTTAGTGCACTTTAGCAAGTCTGTAGAATTAAAACACTGCTTACTTTACAGCCATTATTTGCTTATAAAAAAGATTTAGCACATGACTAACCTTTTTTTAGTAAATGATATATAATCAATATTTTCTGTGTTTGGCAGCAGTTCATGTCAGCTAGTTGATGGAAAAACTGCATTAAACTTTGTTTTCAAATATTTAAGTAAATTGAGAAAATTTACCTCGAACCCCAACAAAAAATTAGTAAGCTGATTTTTATTTAAACAACTATGACCAGATTTCATGAATGATCAAAAAACTGTTGATCATTAAGCTTCTGGGGAAGTGTTCCAGCTGAGTAACACTGGACTGTTTTGAAACTAATACCAGGTTGTCATTTATGGGTTGAGTGAGTTTCATGACCCTCAAGCTGTAAAGCTACATTGTTAAATTTCAAAATGTGGTTATCAGTGAGAACTTGCATCATTCTTGTGAGATTTACTTTTCCCAAAATACATTTTTATGTTCCAGCAATAGTGATTTTCTGTTTGTCCTGAGATTAACACCTCAGAAAGATATATGTGTTTTGTGTAGAAGACAGGAGGATGTTTACCAATGCTCTGTCTGTAGGCATGGTAATGCATGAAATACCACATTTTGTCATGTCCACACTGCAGATTTGTAAACAACTTTTATATTTCTCTCTTTTGTCTGTCTGTACTGAAAACTGCACTTGTCTTAAAGCCTACTGTATAATGACACATTTTATGGTCCAGTGATCCATTTGAGAGACTTGCTGTTCTGTACATGACATCAATTCACCCTAAACAACAGAAAGCTACATGGCAGCACAACAAGCTGACCTGAAAAGGATTTAGCTGCCTTTGTTTTTGCATGTCAATGTGGAGAGCAAGCAATTTTTATGAAACAATTTTGTAAACACGAGTGTGGATAAGACACACTATTTTCAGACTTAATCTGCATTAATATGAACATAGGCGAGGACCGGATGACAAACAATACTGATGGAGACAAGAGACCAAGTGTTGCATGTTGGCTAAAACAACAATGACAGATTCTGACACAGAAATCTGTATTCATGTTTTTGACTATTCTCTCTAACTCTCTTTGTTTTTTTTGTGAAATAATAGACTTCTATTACATCCCAAAAATGCTGGGAACCACTGGTTTAATCTTTAATATGAAAAGTAACTAGTTGCTATGTTTGTGAGATAAATGTAGTGCAGTAAAAAGTACAATATTTCCCTCTAAAAGTATTACTGTAAGTATCATCACTGTAAGTAAAGTACAAGAAAGAAAAGGAAGACAAATTGCTCAACTTTTTAGTGTGTATAGTTAACATTTATTTTGAGGGGACAACCAGCCCTTGTAGGAAAGAACAACTTGGCCAGTGGCTTCCAGATCATTTGAGTTTGATACCCCTAAATTAGGAGCTTGTCTGTGTTTTATTTTAACACATTATGCTGTTATCACAAAATCTCATTAACAAAACGCAAAGAGAATGTATCAAGTGTGAGAGAACAAATGCTGAAAAAAACAAGGAAGAAAGGCGTGTGTTTGTGTGTGCATATGTGTGTTGTGTTTGAAAAAGCGTGTGAACTAGGAAGAGAGGGACAAAGACTGAACAGGAAAGAGTGCGTGTGAAGAGAGAGCAAGGTGGAGTGAGTCAGGGAGAGAGAGAAAGAGAGGAGGGGAAATATATTTGTCTGCCTATAAAGCTCAGCATGCTTCTCGTTTTGGATTCTGGACCCTGTCGTGTAAAGTTTAGCAGAAGTGAATCTTGACTGTAAGAAACGATGACAATACACCAATAAAACATCTCAAACCGAGGAAGCTGTCTGTTGTTGTTGTTTGTATGTTTAAAGGAGAACAACTGCAGTTCACGTTTCTGTGAAGTACATATAGGACACAAGGTGAAACCTAAACTGAAACCAAACACAAAGCAAGGTGCAACAACTCATGTCACATTTGAGTCACACAAAAAAGATTGTGGGTGGATAATAATGGATATAGTAATTCAGATTTTAACACTAGACGATAGTTATTTTTGAGCAAAGAAACAGTTTAGATTTTGTTAGTATCAGGTTAGTATATCAGACTAATACTGGTCATTTTCATTAAATCTTTAATGTCAGTCACTCAGTATCTTCCAATTCTGTTTTTCACTGTTAAAAGGTGGATATAATATAGAGCAAACAACGCAGCAGGTAATGTAACTAATATTAGCTAAGTTGTGGGTTAGTGGTGTAGCAGATTTGAGTGTAAAGTGAAGTTAAGATTACATCCTTAAAAAAAAATGTTGTAGCTCTGACACTGGCTATAAGTGGGCTCTTCTCTCTGCCTGGTGTCTACAGATGGGCAAGTGTGTGCATTTGTAGAAGTGTGTGTGTGTATGCCCTGTGAGACTAGCTTATCTCTGCATGGCGAGGCTGCAAGGAGCATTAGGGTATGCACACTGTATTACAGAACTCAGTCCTCTCAAAGCAACAACCTAATCAGATATAACTGTCAATTCGCCCCTATCCTTTGAATATGACACTAAGACCCAAATTAATTGGTAGGCTGGTAGGAAAACTGCTGACCCCAGTGGGAAAGACAGACAGGAGAGGACGCCATGCTTAGAAACAGAGTTACAAAAGGTGGCGCAAAGAGGTTGAAAGTCAGTATTTGTCCCAGGATGTCAACTCAGGTCCCTGTTGCAGTAAAAAAGTAAGACGAGACGGTTTCCCAGAGTCTGGACACTAGCTCCAGACAGCGACACTCACAACTCTCCTGCTACTGTAGCTAACATCACAACAACAGTATGTCTTGTGAACTACAAATAAACATATTAGTTATATACATATAAACACTGGATTTTTTTTTCCAGCGCACAGAGAACAGACAGCCAGGGGACGGTGAGGAGATATTCACCAAATTTGACTAAAAGATGCTTATTACCCCCACTTTATGTAGACAAGTAATTATCTTGTTTTGCACACTTATTTTTCCTTTAATGTTTTCTTTTTTAGAAATTCCTTTCCCATTAGAAAAGTAACTCAGTAGGAGCTGGAAATCTTGTTTTTGCTGACCTGCACTGGTTTAGCTTCTTATCTTACTGCAGTGATGTGGAAGTGCAATTGAGGATGTGTCACTTCTGACCACACCCAGACGAGGTGCAACAGATTTAAAACTGTAAACCAGAGAGGGGGCAGTGACACACTGTTTTTTAGCCTGGTATTAAAGGAACAGCTGGCCATTTTGTAAAATACACTTACCCACCTTTTGACGGAGAGTTAGATGAGAGGTTTGATACCACACTTGTGTCTGTATGGTAATGATGAAGCTACAGCCAGCAGCTGTACGGGGGGACATACGCCTACCACCTCTTCTAAAGCTTGTACTTCTGCTTATTAATCATGAAAAAGATGCTAATCATAACTTCAGAAGTTGCCTGGAAATCATAAAGCTTTTAACTTTTCTTTAGTTTAAAGTTATTCACTGATTCACACAGTTGTCTGTACATCCATGGATACATTGCAAACAGGAACTGCTAATAGCTAGTTGGCATACTTTAAATGGTGCTGGTTGTGTAAACACATTTTGAAAATGCAAAACAAGCATTTAGCATGTGTCAAAGGAAAAAAAAGTCTTTGGTGGCCCTAGTAAACTCTGACATTTTCAACTGTTGAATATCAGATATAGTTAAACCCACAGATGCCATTAAATGAGTCAGCAGTATATGCTCAGTGTTGTTCTTCAGCTCTGCAGGGCTGTCTCAAAAGATTTTTGACATTTGGGTCAGGTTGGGTGAGGACACATAAAAAACACCAAGAACTGTGTGCAGTTAAACAGTTGCAGTGCATTACACAATACACAGTTTTCAGTGTATGCCAGTGCCTAAACATTATACATATACAGTTTATCTTGTCTTTGACTCTGTACAGAGACAAAGAATTATCAGGAAACATTGCAAGTCGAAAGAGAGATGGAGTATGTTTGTGAAGGAAATTTGCATGTAAATGGTTAAACATGACCTGCAACCCTGCAACAAGGTCACAGATCTTATCCTCAGAAACAGCCAGAATTTCTTTGAGCAAGGCGCTCAACACTCCAACTTGCTCTGGACTGTTATCTCTGACCCTTCTGGTGAAACTTTCACAGGTCTAGTCCGCCACAGACACATCTTTTCAGAAAAGTGAACTCCTTGTTCTACAGTATGTAAGCTGCTGCTCATAAGCTACATGTAAAATATAAAGCCTTTTGGATGCCCCTTTTTTGTAGAAATTTTAACTGCATGGGTCTCTGAACAGCAATTTCGGACTGATGGTCAGTTCATCCATGTGTAGAAAGTGTAAAAAAATCCAAAACCTTGCGTGATCCCCTGACATAATCCTTTTGCACCACCAGCAACCCAATATAAAAATATAAACAATGAACCGTACCCGTCTGAATTCAACTCGAACAACATACTGATTTGTCTGTATGTGTGTTAAGTGATGTGTCTATGTCTATGAGCCAGCTCCCGCCTGAGAGCCGATTCCGGTTAGCCAACGGTTAGCTGAAAGTCAGCCTTTTCACTTGTTTTTCACTTGAGGGTGAGGGTGCAACCCCTATGGGTCCAACACAGGCAGTAGGACATATAGGCAGGCAGGTAGATGACCCAGGTGAGGCTACTGTAACACAACGCCCTGATAACGGTGAGTCAGTGGAGTCTTTCCGCTGCAGACGTCAGACGATAAGAGGAGCGTTACCAGATATTCATCAAGATGTATTTCTTGTGTACACTGGCACTTGGACCTGGAAGTGTTTTTCTTCACTGTGCTGACTCACTCAAACTCCTCTCTGTCGCTCACGTTTCACTGAAATATACTCATTTAATTTTAAAGATTTTTTAGAAAAACTTGTTACTTGAACCCTTCTACTTTCAGAGAGGGAGAGCCATTAAATGGGTACATGAACTTCCTGGTAAACAGTGCCTCCTCAGTGTTTACCTCGTGCTGCACTTCCAAGAAGTAAAGCTCTCATAATTTGTTTTCTGCCTGTACTATCAAATCAAACTCGCAAACTCTAGTTACCCTCCAACGACCTCTTTCAACAGGGATTACAATTACGATACCATTAATACAACGCTTCAAACCACTTCTACACTTCTATTACATAGGCTTTCAGAAATACTGAAAATCTGACCGGACAGGCTTCTTTTTTTTCTTTTTTTTAAATAGGTTGGAACTTATTAACCGTTAACTGTTCAGTTGTATTATCTATACATTTTATTTCTCAAGACTACAGTAAGCTGCTGTTTCAAAGCTTTCCATACTACCAGCAATAAAATTCTGCTTCCATTGTCATATCTTAATTGTATATTTATTGTTGACTATAATGAGTTTGTTTTTATCTGCGGGCGAGCTGACTAATTCTGAAGTCTCGTCTTGTTAGATTATAATTACTGAACTAGGCTGCAGCGTTCATCACAAAGACACGGTTACATAAACACAGAAAACAAATAGCCTGTTAGATCATTTGTAACGCTGTGATGTCAGCCAACGGATGGTTGAACACACACACACACACACACACACACAAGATCACAAAAGAAACACTGCAGAATAAATGGAGAGTCTTAGATTTGATTCCCCATTGTGACACACTTATTTAATTTTTCTCTAAAAAAATGTTTTGTTTGTTCTTAGTTTCTTATTAAGGCATTCTTTGTCTTTCCTTTAGAATTAGATTAGTTTGCATTTATGCTTCACTGAACAATACAAACTACATCGAGGCTGCTGTCTTGTGTGTGTGTGTGTGTGTGTGTGTGTGATGCTTCAGGCCTCTGTATCTACGCTGACTGAGAATACGCCCAGACATGTCTAAGAGCAACCTTGCCACACACACTCCCAAATACACACATCACAGAATCACATTTAAATCTAAATGCTGAGATATGCACACTTACACTGAACCTGGTACACACAAGCATGCATAAATAAACACACACACAGTCATGTACTGGTGGTTAAAGCCAGCTGCTCAGCTGGTTTACAGCCCAGATAAGATAGTCCTGGGTTCAGTCTCACTCTGACACTTTGAACTCACTCTTCTGTTAAAATTAACAACAACCAATGACGTCAATGACACCTTGCAAGGAAGAAGTCAGTGAAATCACACATGGGAGCTGCCATCTTCAAAGACAAACTTAAAGAGTTGCTTCACCCAAATAACAAAAAACATTCTCAGTTTAATGCAGCCTTGCTGTTGGGTTGCTCCCCCCTTACTTTCTACCAAAGACACAAGACTGGTACATTTTTTTAAATGTAATTTTCCACTGTTTTGGAAAACAGGACACAATTCCATTCCCCTTTATAGTATTCAAATAGAGGCAGAAATCTCACAAATGGATACCACAAAACCTGGAAACATCAAACCAAAACTATCTACATACCCCTAAGGGTGCTCTCACACCTAATCTTTTCGATTAAAACAAACCCTGATTGCCTGATTGCCCCGAACTCTGCCTTGACTTAACTAAACTATTAAACCCTCTGACATACAACAGAACAAGATTACTCTTACTCATCATGTCTGCATCTGTTTATCATTATTTCTGACGCATGAGGTGCAGATCACCACTAAAAATCTATCAAATCATTTCTTCGAGAGAAGATACACGTAGGAATTTGATATTCTCTCATGGGCTCCTGTAGTGCTGATGACACAGGAACCATCTGGAGAATGAGTTACCTGTCTGTTGGTACTTTATATGTAAAAAGTTAATGAAGACAGAAACTGTTTAGTTTGTTTTTCAAGCGCAATAAATCAATCATTCCCCCCCACATCACATCACATTCTGTATT